GTGGAAGCCACTGGAACAGAGCACCATGGCTGTGAACATCCCAGGAGTGATAGTGATGCTGATTTTCTACTTGATGGTCCTGGGCATCGGCATCTGGGCTTCTTTCAAGTCCAAGAGAGAACAGAAGAAAAGTGGAGCAGGAGAAATGGAGATGGCTCTGCTGGGGAACAGGAGCATCAACTGGATGGTCGGGATCTTCACCATGACAGGTCAGAACGTCTCATGACACTCTATCAGATCAATACAAAAGTTAAAAATGTCAATATTTAAGAGTTTTAAGGCCACCCTGGGAAGATTCCAGGTTTGAGAATTGTATTGGCTAAGCCTTCAGGTCAGATTGGCAGCAAGGTGGACTGTTCAACAGCATTAGGCAAGACAGAAAGATTTAAGGAAAAAATACAAAAAACTAAGGTAAGTTGAAGGATAAATGTAGCTTCACTTGAAGGCTACAGTGTTGATCTGTGATGACTAAACTCATAAGGAATTCTGGCAGTATAATAAATGAGACTTGAAAATCAAGTTACCATTGTACAAGGAAATGGGACATGTTGTACGTCTAGGTGCACCAAACGGACCGCCTGGACCACAAACTTCTTCATTGATTGTCTCACTGAGAGACAAGGAGTACAGGATTCTGATTTGAATATATTAAAGAAGAATTCTACATTTATCATTTGCATTACTGTTGGGGACACGGCAGCCCAGGAACCAGGTTTCTTTAGGATGATGTGGCAGTAGACCTTGTTTGAACCTCCAATATTCAGCTGGTCTACTAGTGATATCCTTTTCACATCTTTTCTTACTTATGTTCAGAAAGTTCAACAACATGTTTAAGCGACTTTAACCAAAGTATGGAGTTGATTGCATGGTGTGTCCTTTAGCTACCTGGGTTGGAGGAGGCATGCTTGTGGCCATTGCTGAGATTACTTACACGCCATCTCTAGGACTCATCGAGGCAGCTACAATGATCCTTGCCTACAGCATGTCATTTATTTTATGTAAGTTTCCTACATGCAGTGCTGACTGTTCGATCTGATCTGAATCGCTTTCTTTTCACAAGATGACTTGTTGACCCTTTTGGAAATTCCAAGTACTTCCTGTGAAATATTCTTCTTCCTTCAAATCCAGGTGGCCTGGTGTTTGGTAAACCTCTCAGAGAGCTGAACTGTGTCACCATGATGGACCCTTTCCAACAGAAATATGGAAGAGTGCTGACAACAGGACTGTCCTTGTTCTCACTTTTCCTGGACTTTATGGGCTTGCCTATTACACTCATTGCTTTGGGTGAGTTCAACCGTTGTTGCTTTGTTGGTGCAGTTTAAAAAAAAAAAGCAAATGCAGCAGCCCTCAGATAATTCTACTTAAAGTAGAAATAAAAATGTTAAAGTGAGAGGTGTGGGAAGAAGGATTGAAATAATTGACTGTATTTGCAAATGTAATGACAACAGCTCAAGCAGAATTCACTACTCACTACTACTAGTACAACAACACTACTACAACACTACTGCTACAACATCACTACTACTAGTACAACAACACTACTACTTCTGCTTAATGGTGATGGCCTCTACAAAGAATTCAAATACAAATTTCTGTATTAGGAGGAGCAATGAATGTAGTCCTGAACTTGTCCTACACTGCGTGTGTCTGGATCTCTGCTGCTGTTGTTGTCATCTACACACTGATGGGAGGTCTCTACTCTGTGGCCTACACTGATGTAATACAGCTGATTCTTATATTCATAAGTATGGTAAGCACCTTGTTCTCATAGGTTTTATATAGTGCAGATTTGTGTGTTTTTCCTCACTTACATCTTCCATTTATCTCTGCAGTGGCTCTGCGTTCCCTTTGTTCTGATGAACCCCAGCTGCACAGACATTGGTCAAACACTGATGAACAACACCTTACACGCTCCCTGGATTGGAACTGTAGAACTCCGAAAGTCTGGAGTTGTTGTGGACCAGTTCCTATTTTATGTAAGACAGTGTGTGACACCACAGTCTTGAATACTGTTTTTCATGCCAGCCTCCACACCTGATCCTGCTCATCAACATTTTAAAGCTGAGGCAGTGGTCGGGTGAATGATGCCTGAGCATTGACAAGAATCTGAGCCAAACTATCAGACTCATTCATCTTTGTTTCCAGTGTTAGTCCAGTCGTTACCACACGATGAGAGTAAAAGACGAGACAAGTTTCTTGCAGGACAGCCAGTCTGTACCACTCCATTTGCAAAGAACGACTCTTCTGCCTCGTAGTTTTTGAAGCTAACCTGTTAGCTCCGGCGTTGGCCTTCCATCATTTATCGACTTCTGTTTGAACCGGAAATCCCGTTTTGAGAAACGTTTCCGTCTTGAAATACAATCCATAGGCAGAGCACAGAAAACGCTGTTCTTGACCTACTGGCTCTAGCTTGGCGCCCACGTCACTGGGGATAATATGTGCTCTTTATGACCAGAGTATATGATCGTATATAACGCGTTCACGTAGGAATGGATTTCTATATAAAGGTTATAAAACAAGGCCACTCTACTTTGTCTCAAACTATCAGACTCATTCATCTTTGTTGCCAGAGGGTAGATTGCAAAAGAGTCAGTAAAAAAAACACACAAAGATCTGATGGTTCAAAAATGACATAACGGTAATTACCCTTTGTTATTCAATTACAGTATGCTGTGTTTATAGGTATCATATTCACGTTATTCAAGCGAGATAATTTGAGGATTTGGGGCAGTGATGGTTTAGTGGTTAAGGAAGCGGATTTGGGTCCGGAAGGACTAAAAAAAAAAAAAAGACTAAAAGCTTACAGTTATGCTACTGCATCAATGTCAAAGTGAATCCACCCTGCATAGAATCAGATTTTTTTTCAAGTCAAATACACGTTGTTAGTTTTTTTTTTTAACACGGATGTAACTGTTTATTTTTGGTTATTACATTTTCACATGCATTTTTTTTCTCCAGACACTGGGCAGCATGGGATATCAGTGCCTCCACCAGAGAACCTTGGCAGCTTCTTCATTAACCACTGCAAAGGTCACATGTGTGGTCGCTGCTTTTGTCTTCATTGTGTTGGTTACACCATCGGTTCTGCTTGGAGCAGCTGCTGCGTCTACAGGTACTGGAGATTTAAAAGGTTAACTGTAGAATGAATGTGAATGAATATGTTAAATATTTGCAGCACAAACACAACTCAACTGCATTCTTTGCAGTCTTGTCATGTAACAGGCTTTAAGAGTGTTAGACAAAGACGTGTCATCCACAGGTAGTCCGATAACAATGGAAGTTTCATTAAGCAGTTGTGCTGCTGGAGGCTTCAGCCAAACCCTGGTCTGAACATCTGAAACAGATTATAGGAAAATTCAATCATATTCAGTCAGAGTTTGTCTACAGATTGGAACCTGACCTCCTTCGGTTCTCCGTCTCCATATGAACGCGGTGAAGCCTCCATGGTTCTGTCAATCGCCCTGCAGCACCTCACACCATCCTATATCTCTATTATTGGTACTGGATGTGTGGCCGCTGCTGTGATGTCATCAGCTGACTCCATGTTGATTTCTGCAGCTTCTGTCTTCACCACAAACATTTATAAGAGCGTCCTGAGGCCAAAGGTGAGAAGATGATCATTGAGGATTAAAGAATTTAAGGAGTTTTTCTGTTTTGAAACACCCTAACCTCTTCCTTTGTCATGTCTTCTGTAGGCTGGAGAAAAAGAGATTAAGTGGACGATTAGGATTGTTGTCCTAGTGGTGGGTGTGGGTGGTGCATCACTAACATCTGAGTCAAACAGCATCATTTTCTTCTGGATACTTGCTGCTGAAGTTGGTTATGTTGTGATCTTTCCTCAACTGGTCTGTGTCCTCTTTTTCAAAATCTCCAATGGTAATGGAGCTGTCATAGGATTTGTGGCAGGAGTAACGATGAGACTCCTCAGTGGGGTCCCATCTCTAGGACTTCCTGTTGTCCTCCACTTCCCAGGATGTGTCCTTGAGGATGGAGTTTATGTCCAGTACGCTCCAGTCAAGACCATCTCCATGCTGTCTGCCATGGGTTCCATCTTGTTGTTCTCCTATCTGACATCTGTGCTCTTCAACAAAGGTCTGCTTCCTGAGAGGTGTGACGTGTTCAAGGTGAAAGTCCAACACTCACCACAGCAGATGAGTCCAGTACCTGGTTCAAAAATAGATGATGAGACTGAGACACTGACAAAAACCAAGTGTCAGGCTGAGACCTCAGAGCTTGTCAACACAGACTGTTAGTGTCTCTGAGCATCGTTGATGAGATTGTCATCTAGTAGTTATTTCATGACTAACTTCTATAGTTTACTGCTTGTTCAATGGTATGCACGGTTATTTTACTGAGTCTTTTTTTTTCATTCTTATTGTTTGTCGTTTATATGTCAAATGTCAGTGCGTTTACTGTAATATATTAGTTTATTTTAAGTCAAATCCCATTTGTTTCATTGGACATTTTTGGGAGGGTGACTTTGCAGTTACATTACAGTGTAACCAGTGATCAGTAATCAGTTGATTTCAGTTAAATGTCTAGCTGTAAACTCTAATGAATTTTTGCAAACGGTTTGTCGTTTTTGGTTTTGGGTATATTCTATATGAAATGTAGCTCGTGTTAGCAGTTAGCCTCGTGTTTGTACCAGTTAGATCTCTTAGCACTGTATTAGTGGAATACCAAACGAAACACACACCTGCTCAGTTACAAACAAATAAATTAATATGCAAAGAAGAAACAAAGTAGAGTGGCCTTGTTTTATAATCTTTATATAGAAATCCATTCCTACGTGAACGCGTTATATACGATCATATACTCTGGTCATAAAGAGCACATATTATCCCCAGTGACGTGGGCGCCAAGCTAGAGCCAGTAGGTCAAGAACAGCGTTTTCTGTGCTCTGCCTATGGATTGTATTTCAAGACGGAAACGTTTCTCAAAACGGGATTTCCGGTTCAAACAGAAGTCGATAAATGATGGAAGGCCAACGCCGGAGCTAACAGGTTAGCTTCAAAAACTACGAGGCAGAAGAGTCGTTCTTTGCAAATGGAGTGGTACAGACTGGCTGTCCTGCAAGAAACTTGTCTCGTCTTTTACTCTCATCGTGTGGTAACGTCTGGACTAACTCGGGATACTGTGATCTGTGCATCGTCTGAACATTTAGCAAAGAAGCTTCAGCAGACATGAAGATCAGACACGCACATTCAAAGACAGATTTCTTTAAAAACTTTTGGAAATTCAAGGATCTGTTTGGCATTGGATGAGCAACGGAGACTAAACATTAGCCTCCACAATGCTAAGGTGAGGGAGATACAACCATGGACTTCATCTATAAGGTAAGGCTGAAAAAATGGGTTTAAGTTTTTGTTTTTTTAAAATAAGATGGGAGTAAGTAAAAAGAAATCAAGTATCTTATAACTTAATTTTTGGTGTAAACTATTTATTTTCTTATCAAATTGATGGACATTTGATCAAAGCACCAGAATTTAAAGTTTGATACTCAAGTGAGCATTTCTCCCTCTAACTATTGAAAATACACCCTTATGAGTCCGTTCGGTTCTATTTGTACAGCCGACAGTGTCTGTTGATGCCGGATTTTTTATGAAATTGTGTTGAACCTGGCTCCATCAGGCCTGATCTGATGAGTTTATCTCTGCTGCTACTAAGAGCTTTTTGAGTCCATCTTAAAACAGTTGCAGTTTGTGAGTTAGTTGGACATGAAACTCTGTGGTCCCTTCAAGCACCTTCCCTCTAATCAATGAAGCCCCACCCAAATTAGCATGGCCTTCTGTTCCCTGATTTTCTTGTCAGTCTTCTTTGCTCAGTTTTACTTAGGTGTGTGTTGAGAGGAGCAGCACATCTGCTCAGTCTCTTGTTTTCTCCTTAGAAATCGATCTGTGTGGAAGCCACTGGAACAGAGCACCATGGCTGTGAACATCCCAGGAGTGATAGTGATGCTGATTTTCTACCTGCTGGTCCTCGGGACCGGGATCTGGGCTTCTTTCAAGTCCAAGAGAGAACAGAAGAAAAGTGGAGCAGGAGAAATGGAGATGTCTCTGCTGGGGAACAGGAGCATCAACTGGATGGTGGGGATCTTCACCATGACAGGTGAGGGGGAAAAAAAACTCAAATCTGTAGTTTTTAAAAAAAATAGTTATGGCCTTAGTGGACTAGTTACTCAGTTACAAATTGTCATCTTTAGGGAGATTCTGATAAATAGGACAAAACATGTTTTTATTTATGCTAATAAATCCTATTTTAATATGAACCGTCTGTTTTTTAAAAAGTAAAACTGAGTGACAGGGCTGCTGTTTGTTCAGGCTCAGTTTCAAGTATCAAAACTTGAATTGACTGCATTTCCATAAACAAATATAAGTCTGATCCTAGAACAGTTCGCTACAGTTGTCATTGATTTGTTATATTATTCTCTCTTGATTCTCATTGCATGAGAATCAAGTTGGATCACATCATTTAAATTGTGTGTATTGTGTAATCCGAGTACTACACTACATTGTGCCTATTGTGAATAATGATTGATGTGTGAAACCTGTTCTATCTTGTAGCGACCTGGGTCGGAGGAGGCATGATTGTTGGCACAGCAGAAATCGTGTACACGCCATCTTTGGGCCTAATCGAGGCAGCCACGATCATACTTGGATATTTAACATCTTTTTTTTTATGTAAGTCCAAATCCATGACAACAGGGACAAGAACTACAGAATGTCAGTGTAACTCTTTTATCTGCATTTCCAGGTGGTCTGGTGTTTGCTAAACCACTGAGAGAACAGAACTGTGTCACCATGATGGACCCTTTCGAAGCCAAGTATGGAAAAGTTCTGACAGCCGTTCTCTCCTTGTTCTTGCTTTTTCTGGAGTTGATGTTAATGCCCCTTACACTGATAGCTTTAGGTAAGTACAGAAAAACGAGCCTTTTCTCTTGAACCTTCCCAAAGGCCGGGACATGTTTGAAAACTCAGTCAACTTTTATCTTAGTGGGTGAGTTAAGTACTTGTAAAGACTTAGAGACATGTGTGTGTTTTCATTATTTAATTACCAGTTACAGAGTTATATGCTTATACAGACTGGCTTTGGCAGATCAGTTTGTTAATTATCTACCGTATTTTCCTCATTTTTATAAATGACACTTATTTTCAGCCTTTGGCTGGGTTTGTGACTCATACTCAGGTGCGACATATATTTAAAAATATATAATTTTACATGTTCGTTATTTTTACACGGCCAGCCGCTAGAGGGCACTCTAGGCTGGTGAACCGGTATCTGCTATTCCTGTACCACAGAAAATTTTAATGTTCGTTATTTTACACAGACCGCCGCTAGAGGGCACTCTAGGCTGGTGTACAAGTAACTTGTATCTTGTATGTTTGACAGGAGGAACCATGAGTGTGATCCTGGACTTGTCCTACACTGTGTGTATCTGGATCTCTGCTGCCATTGCCATCATCTACACACTGCTGGGAGGTCTCTACTCTGTGGCCTACACTGATGTCATACAGCTGATCCTTATGTTCATCAGTTTGGTGAGTTTGTCATTCCTTTAGATCCTCTATGGTGCTAGAGGTTATGTGTGTTCCTTTACATACCTTTCCTCTGTCTCCACAGTGGCTCTGTGTTCCTTTTGTTCTGATGAACCCCAGCTGCACAGACATTGGCCAGACACTGATGAACAACACCTTACACACTCCATGGGTTGGTTCAATGGAACTGAAAAAGACTGGGCTCATGATCGACGAGTTCCTGTTTTTTGTAAGAGAAAAACACACCTTTTGAAGCAAATGCTTGATGCTTGTCTGAAATATATAGTTTTGATTGACTTCATGAAACCAGAGTACTGAATACAGTAGTGATAAATATGAGACTGTAAATCTGTGTTCATCCTAGGTTTTATATGAATCAGATTCTCTGGTGTTTGTTATTGTCTCAATAAATTATATTTATGATGCTGGTTCTACCCCACCCAGACCAAGTGAGTATTGTGTTTGGGTTGAGGAATGCCTCCTCGCAGCACTTGAAAAACTTGTTTTTTATGTTGGAATATTTCCTGTCGAATGGTTCTCAGCAGCTCAGGCATGGCCCCCGGGCACAGTGGGTCCTAAAATGGGGGGCCACGTCAGGAGCGGATAGATGGAGCGTTAAGATAAATGACTTGTCAAAGTCATGCATAAAGGCTAAAATGCTAATATGCTTTTAGCCTTTTCTATGGCATCCATTGAGAGACTAGAGACATTGCAGGGAAAAGGCAGAAGTATAATGATACTATAAATTAATAACATCATTTGGACAAGTTTGGATGGTCGGATTACAAAGGCAAACGGGCAACATCCGGACCTCGGGCCATAGTTTACTCATGTCTGCATCATGTTCTGGTTTATTCTGTATTGTTAAGATGTGAACGACAACATGTACAGCAATGTACAACCTGGGCATTATAATTAGTCAGCAGAATAATTATGGAGGCTGTGATTTTGGATTATGAAGAGTTTTGGATTATGGGTTTTAAATATTGATTTTAAATATTAACAACTTGTAGTTAAATTAACTGACGTTTTTATTTTTCAAGGCTCTGGGGAGTCTGGGATATCAGTGCGTTCACCAGAGAACACTGGCAGCCTCATCCTTAGGCACTGCCAGGATCACATGTGTGGTCGCTGCTTTCCTCCTTCTTGTGTTTACAGTACCTCCGGTCCTCCTGGGGGCAGCAGCAGCATCTACAGGTATTGACAGCTGAAATGCTGGTAGAACTAGTACTAGGCTTTCATTATTTAGGCAATGAAGTCATACATACAGTTCTTCCTCTTTGTCAATGCTATTGCTATCACCAAGGAAGCTAAATGCTAACCATAAACAGACAAACAAGGTGTATTTTTTTTAATAGGTAAAGTCGGTGATTGACTTTAATGAAATGACCAAATTTAACCAAATGATCTTACTAAGGATCATTTGGTATACTGTGTAAAATTATCCAGTTTCACTTAATTGTTCTGACTACTATTATTTATTTACTATGCAAATAATTTGTTCTTTGTCTATTCAACAGTGACCAAGAACAATTAAAAATTATTCCACTAGTTGGCAGCAGGAGGCTATAAAAGAGAGGTGGTGTTGAAGAAGTTCCTTGTGTGTATATGCGCATTGTATTCAACTTCAACTTACCATACTTTTTGTATGGTGTGTAACCTGTGAAATAAAACAAAAAAATATTATTGTTAGTGATTAAATCTATGTTTGTTATCTATTTTTGGACATTGGGACAGCAAAAAGTCAAAGCTAACGATATATAGTACCTTTTGCATAGCTCAACAACTCTCATTTCACTCCATTCTTTGACTTTCTTTATTCTGTGTGCCATCTGGTATGGTCAGATTCTAAGAAGTAAAAATATCAGAAGTCACTTCTGTAAGCTAAAAATCTGTGTGAATAATGAGTCCATTCTGAACCTGTGTTCTGTTCCTCAGATTGGAACCAGACAACTTATGGTTCTCCGTCTCCATACGAACGTGGTGAAGCAGCTCTGATCTTGGCCATCACCCTGCAGCACCTTACTCCTTTTTTCATCTCCATCATCGGTACTGGATGTGTGGCTGCTGCTGTGATGTCATCAGCTGACTCAATTTTGATCTCTACAACTTCCATTTTCACCTGCAACATTTACAAGAACATCCTGAGGCCAAAGGTGATCATAAAATATTATCATATTATCATAAAAAAAATTTTTAAAGCTGTTTTACCCTTTTTTTCTTCTGTATTTTCTCCTCCAGGCTTCAGACAAAGAGATTCAGTGGGTTATCCGGGTTGCTGTACTGGTCATGGGGTTGATTGGTACATCCCTTACCAGTCAAACCAACAGCACCTTATTGTTCTGGTTCCTCAGTGGTGAAATGGCCTACATCATAATCTTCCCTCAGTTGTTCTGTGTTCTCTTTTTCAACATCTCCAATGGTTATGGAGCTATCATGGGCTGTGTGGTTGGGCTGGTGCTCAGACTCCTCAGTGGAGTCCCATCTCTAGGACTTCCTGTTGTCCTCCACTTCCCAGGATGTGTCCTTGAGGATGGAGTTTATGTCCAGTACGCTCCAGTCAAGACCATCTCCATGCTGTTTACTGTTGTCTCCATTGTGTTGTTCTCCTATCTGTCATCTGTGCTCTTCAACAAAGGTCTGCTTCCTGAGAGGTGTGACGTGTTCAAGGTGAAAGTCCAACACTCACCACAGCAGATGAGTCCAGTGCACGTTGCTGAGGAAAACCACGAGACTGAGATGTTGACTAAAGACTGCTCTCAAAGGCAGGACTCAAAGCAAATAAATAACTCTGAGTGCTAGAGCATGTACAATCATAACTTTCAATTTAGTTTCTTTTCTTTTTTTTGGTTAAAAAACTTAATTAAAATAATACGTGAAACGCAATCAATGATTTGTAAAAGCTTCTTTTGTCCAACTTGAGACGTTTTAATCTCGGCTCACAATAAAAGTGAAGGAAACACAAAAGAATAGAAACATTATAGAAATAAAGAAAAACCATCTATCCATTGTAAATAAAACATTTAATTCTATAAATCAAATTTTGTGTTTAATTCAGGTGCAGTACAAATCTGGACCCACGTTACAGGCAGGTGGAAAATCCCCAAGTCAGAGTTTGTGTGGAAATTTGCATCTAACAACCACAGCAGAAAAGTACTACAGTTGGCAAACCTCCAAACTGAAGCGCTTGCCAACAATCTTGTGGTTGAACAACCCTTCTAAGTTAGCTGGCGGTTCAGAGGAACTTTTCTATTATGCTGCTGCTGCTGCTGTTGTTGTTGTTGTTGTTGTTGATGATGTTGTGGTTGCGTGCCTTCACTGCTAAACGCAGCTGCTGTGGCAAATGCCAGGTGTCCAGTTCTTTTAGTTCAAGCTCTGTGAAAGTCGTGTTTTTATTGGTCAATGGTGCTCATTTCTATCCAGTGTGTCCTGGAATCTTATGTCAAGGTTGTCAAACATCCTGACAGTGTCTCAGGGTGGCTGTTAGCAGAGGCTTTTTTTTTGTTTGTTTAATTTTTGTCTTACAGTAGAAAGGAACACTGTCAAATAAGTCTTTGATGAGAAAAAAAAAGCAACAGTAACTGGATGTAAGTGGAATTATTGGATATGTATTATAGAATTTCTTCACAAATGAAATAACGCTATTTGTGTGTTCATTTCAACAGCCCTGTTTAAAAGTTTTAACAACTAAATTGATTGATGTATTTTGCTATAGGAAGATGTGGTGACACAATCACGGGCTGTCAAGGACATGTAAGAAAGTGGTGCAGGTTATCCTACAAAAGGTCACAGTACTGAGTAGTAAAACACAGATAAGATATGTTCCCCTCTCCCTTCTTTATGTTATAAAAGTACTTCTCAGTAAACATTAACCTTAGTTTTTCCTCTTGACTGAAAGACAAAATAATTTATTGTCAGTCTAATGCACTTATGTTCAGAATGGGCTGAAATCACTATCTCAATGTACCCTTTTTAAAAATATTTAAAATTATAATATTTAATTTTTTGTTGTAAAAAAAAAAAACCTTAATTGTTTTATGAAATTCTAGAACGCACAAACACCAAGCCTTGTTGGATTCCTGGCCCTAGCATTTAGTGTCAATCGTTGGCTCGGAGGCCGCCGTCTGAGGGCATTTACAAGTCAGCCTCTCTGTCTCACTGTCGTCCTTGGTAACAAGTGCTGGACTTGACTGTTGTTGTTGTGATGGTTGTGCTTTCACCTTGAACACGTCACACTTCTCAGGAAGCAGCCCTTTGTTGAAGAGCACAGATGTCAGATAAAAAAAGAACACAGTAGCAGCCATAGCAGACAGCATGGAGATGGTCTTGACTGGAGCGTACTGAACATAAACTCCATCCTCAAGGACACATCCTGGGAAGTGGAGGACAACAGGAAGTCCTAGAGATGGGACTCCACTGAGCAGTCTCAACACCAGTCCAACCACACAGCCCATTACAGCTCCGTAACCATTGGAGATGTGAAAGAAAAGTACGCAGGACAGCTGAGGAAAGACAATGAGGTAGGCCACTTCACAGGTAATAATCCAAAATCGCATAATGCTTTTCTCCTGGCTGGTCAACGACGTGCCTACTAATCCTACAATAAGGACGGCAGCTCGGATCACCCACTGAATTTCTTTGTCTGATGCCTACGGAAACATTAAAAGATGAAAATGACTTAAAATAACCGCTAACATAACATGTAGTTACGGTAAGGTCAATTCCAAAGTTGTGTCATGATAGCTCACTTCTCTTTATTGAATCAGTTACTCACGTTTGGCCTCAGGATGTTTTTGTAAATGTTTGAGGTGAAAACAGAAGCGGCAGAAATCAAATTAGAATCAGCTGATGACATTACAGCGGCAGCCACACATCCAATGCCAACGATGGAGATGTAGGAGGGGGTGAGGTGCTGCAAGGCAATGGGAAGGATTATAGCTGCTTCTCCACGTTCATATGGAAATGGAGAACCATAGGAGGTCTGGTTCCAATCTGAGGAAGAAGTGAAGATAAAATTGAAACAATAACAGTCTTTTTGAACTGCTGCACCAAGTAGTTATTTTTTAAAGTCTAAGATCCTTGACGTCAGTCAGTCTTTGTAGAAGCAGCTGAAGCTCTGCTGTCAAAACAATATCATGGATCTGTTCATTTAAAGGTTCTAGATAATAATTGATTGATGTTTCTAAAACTGAAGGCTGAATGTGTCTGATATTAATCACTCCACGCCAAGAACAGTCCCAGTACCTGTAGATGCAGCAGCAGCTCCAATCAGGATTGGAGGGATTCCAAACACGAGTAGAATAATAGAAGCAACCACACACGTGACCCTAGCAGTGGTTAAAGAGGAAGCAGCCAGGGTTCTTTGGTGGAGACACTGGAATCCCATACTTCCCAGGGCCTGGATTAGGGAGGGTGGGGGGTGGAAATGAACCAAACGGTCATGTGACTGCAGATATTTTATAAACTTTCACAGATTTTTTTTTGCAATGCAATATGCCACAGCCCGTGTTATCTCCTTCTGGTGCTTTCTTTGACGCTGGTAAGACACAGTGAGTTGGTGTTTGAGCTGTGCCGTTAAGACAACATTTTCCGTAGCTATGGCTTTATGGTTTTGGGCGGGAGCTCCGAACTCTACGTATACGAGTCCCAGAGTGTACTGTATGTGTTTAAAATATCCGGCGCTTTATGGCTTTGTTTCAAGTGATTAAATGAAGGGTTACAACTTCCCTTCTCAGCTCAGTACAGGACGCTCCAATCTCGCGACGCTGCCTAAATTGCTTTGTGTCACGCCTACATTTTCGTGTCAGTCCACACGTAGTGCTTTTACTGTCAATGCCCCACAGGAGTATTGCATCAGCCCGACGCATCATGCCAAGGTCACTTTTAGTATTTGACTGAGAGTGTTGCACCAAAAGACAGATTCATTAGAATGCGTTAACCATTTTTTCCCACTCCATATGTGCGATTTCTTATGTCATGAACTGTATGGTAAGTTTCCAGGTACATGTGTATATTTCTTTTAACATCTAGTCAACTCTATACTTTATTGTGTTGGTGGTGCTTTAGCTTACGAAAAATAAGAAATCGTCAACCATGATCCATGTCCTTTTTAGATCTACAGTTCCAACCCAGGGAGCGTGTAAGGTGTTGTTCATCAGTGTCTGGCCGATGTCAGAGCAGCTGGGGTTCATCAAAATAAAAGGAACACACAGCCACTGTGGAGACGAATACAAAGGTCAGTGAGAAACACACAGGGGCATCCAATTCATCTATGAGAGTTAAAAGTACAGCAAAGCTCACCGTGCTAACAGACGCACACACATCTGCACTACATAAAACCTATGAGAACAAGCTGCTTACCATACTTATGAATATAAGGATCAGCTGTATAATATCAGTGTAGGCCACAGAGTAGAGACCTCCCATCAGTGTGTAGATGATGACAATAGCAGCAGAGATCCAGACACACACAGTGTAGGACACATCCAGGACCACACTCATGGTTCCTCCTGTCAGCGACATTTTAATAGAAGGGTACTGACTTTCTTTATGTTTTATTTCAGGCATTGCGTCTAACACTAACAAGGGCCACTCACCTAAAGCAATCAGTACCACAGGCAGACACATCAAGTCCAAAAACAGTGAAAAGATGCAGAGTCCAGCTGTTACAAATTTCCCGTACTTCATTTGGAAAGGGTCCAGGATGGTCACGCAGTTCTTTTCTCTCAGTGGCTTGGCAAAGACCAGACCACCTGGATTTATTAAGTCAAGGAATATAGAGTACACAATAGTGATGAATGTGATTTTATTTGGCCGACCAGAACTTCACATCCATTCTTAAAATTCAAGTCTATAATACCATATCTGTGGTGAGAAATCCATCACACATTCTCTTTCTCTAATTCCAATTCTTGAAGTGTCAACAATCACTGTAATTCCACAAGAAACGTTCATGATAAGCAGCATCGTGTTATCAACCCCAAACATTTGACCAAAAAAGTTTGACCAAATGAGAGCCCGCTAATTTTTAATTTGAGTCATTGAAATATCCTATTACGTTTGATGATTTTTTAAATTTTATTTAATGTTTTATTTCTTTTATTGCAGAAAAGGCATTCTGATCAAATTGATAATCTTTGGATAAAGCATTGTCTCCTTGAGTGATTAATGTTGACACTCCGTCTTTACAGCTTTGGGCAGTAATGTCAACATGTGAGTGCCTCGCGACTTACTCTCCGCTGGGGCTGAATACTAAATAGATTTCATGGTTATGAATGCTCTTTATGTAAGTAAATCTTAGAGTAGTGCCTCTAGGGTTGAAATAGAGACACAGTTGGGCACACCCTTCTTTTACACCTGCTGAGCACATGTCAGGAGAGAGCATACTTTACATGACAGCCTGTCAGTCCTAATTAAACAAACATCCAAGACATTTGTGATGAAGGCAGGCGGTGAACAAACAAAACCATCGCAAACTGTTTCATACTATACTGATCACCTGTCAATACGGTTAAAGACTAACAGGCCTCCCAGCCTGTGCTGTGAAACCTCTACAGATGATCCAGAACACTGGCTACCCATAGATGCCCACATCAAATTCAAATCACTACTGCTGTCTCTCTGCTTCAAGAAACTCTTGGAGACTCAGCCAGCCATGATCAGATTTTAAAACTGGTGACCTTTGGAAACTTACATATGAGAAAAGACGTTCCTTGAGCAGAGATTGCAGTTAGTGCCCACGTTAGTCCCATGGAGGGTGTGTAGACCACCTCAGCTATGCCTACAATCATGCCTCCTCCAACCCACGTGGCTGTGAGATGAATAACATGCAAAAAAAAAAGTTTGTTACATTTTATTAATTTCCTTGTATGGTTTTAAAATGTGAAAAAAAAACCTCTCCAGCACATTTCACACTTCTCAGTTCTGTTCTGTTTACTGCAGCTTAATAAATAGCTCAACTTTCACTGAGATACTATAACCTGTTATGTAAGAATAGTCAAGCAACAAAGTTTCTAGTTAGCCTCAATAAAGTTATTAAAAAAACTAATAAAGTATATAAGTCAATATAATAATGGTATATAAATAAAAAGGCAATAGATAAATAAATTGATATAGAATAGATAAATAAAAACTCAGAAAAAAAAAAGAAAAAAAAGTATTCAGCCGAGTTCTTTTTTGCCAGCAGTAACTAACAGGTATCATTAGTAGAATCCTGTAAAACAGCCTCAGGTGTATATATGTATGCAAACAAGTTTGTACCAGTATTTGTTGTTTTTCAATAATGTATTATTAATGTTGTCTTCTGTGCCACCATTGTGGCTGTGATGTTACATGTGGTTAAGTGTGCCTGACATTTGTACTACACTAAGATACTAACACTGACTGCCCCAACTGTTCTTTCTAATTAAAAAGTCATTCCTGAGCCTGTCTGGACAAGCTTTGGTCTCGATCTCCTCTCAGAATTCTGATTGGTAAAAAAGTGTTTCTTTGTAACCTGGATAATTTGAACGTCCCAAAATAAATATACTATATAATATGTCATCAATGTGTGGTGTTAAATGCCGAAGCTGCGCACCGCTCATGCAGTGAGTGACGATGACAGTGCTCATCTTCAGTGTGGAAAAAAAAAATCTCTTAGTGCCAACAACGTTCGGGGGCTAGTGACTAAAGACAAATACTGACATACTGACGCTGTCCTGAAATGATATGACGGTGTTGGTCCGGAGTTCTGTTACACATTAAACATTCTTCTTTGTACAAACTGGTGGTAATAAGCTTTTACAAAATGTCTTTCAATGGAACCTACATTTTTACTGCATTATATCTTTTTATGTATTTATTTATTTTGGACAACATATCCAACTAATAAGATGCATTTATAAATGTGTTTTTCAGATGATCTCACCTGTCATGGTGAAGATCCCCACCATCCAGTTGATCCTCCTGTTCCCCAGCAGAGCCATCTCCATTTCTCCTGCTCCACTTTTCTTCTGTTCTCTCTTGGACTTAAAAGAAGCCCAGATCCCGGTCCCGAGGACCAGCAGGTAAAAAATCAGCATAACTATCACTCCTGGGATGTTCACAGCCATGGTGCTCTGTTCCAGTGGCTTCCACACAGATCGATTGCTAAGGAGAAAACGAGACTGAGCAGTAATACAGGAACTACATGTGTAACTGTGGGAGTGGCATCAACAACTGTGGCCCAGAGAACAGAGCTGGTTCTATAGATCATCGGCCGGTGAATTCATTATTACAATTAACATCTGTTCACAATTTGCTTTCAATGAGTTTGCACATTAGACATTGGAGATGTAACTGACACTGTCACAGGCAGACATGTGACACCTGCTGACCCGTGAAGCTGTGAGCGATAATGGCAAGACAGCAAGAACAACACAGACATGTAGTTCACATGTAAGGAATATTGAATGTAACTTACACATTTCTGGATCTGCATAGTTTTACAGACACGTTTGTTTTTTTTCTTCTCTGTTTTTTGGTGGAAGAAATAAATAGAAGAAATAAAATATGTTATTTCACTTTTGCTAGTGTTTCATTAGCTTATTTAAGCTATGGACCCCACCCCCCATTTTGTCTAACATTTCTGATGCAACATTATCCTCGCCATGTACATTTATGGTAGAATGTGCACAGGATGTCAGTGATAATAAAATGAAGTAATCCTGAATAATTTATTCAGTCATCAAAAAGAGTTACAGTTTGGTACAAAGCATGTTGTAACCTAAGCTTTCATCTCTTTTGTCTCTTTGTTTCGTTTTTGCTCCCAAAGCTTTTGATTTAGTAACAGGTCACCAAACAACTTCACTCCAACGTCTTTGTTTCTTTGACGTCCGATTAGTTCTTGGTGGTGTCTGTGTGTGTATATATTTATACACATAAAAACACACTGAAACCTCAAAATTTAGTTTCAGAACTCCAACACCTGGTCTCGTGGTCTTCCTTGACATCATTTACTGGATTCAGTTGTTCAGACAAAAGATTAACTTTCACCTTGAACACATCCCATTTCTCAGGAAGCAGACCTTTGTTGAAGAGCACAGCTGTCAGATAGGAGAACAACACAATGGAGACAACGGCAGACAGCATGGAGATGGTCTTCACTGGAGCGTACTGGACATAAACTCCATCCTTAAGGACACATCCTGGGAGACAGAGGACAACAGGAAGTCCTAGAGATGGGACTCCACTGAGGAGTCTGAGCACCAGCCCAACCACACAGCCCACGATAGCTCCATAACCATTAGATATGTTGATGAAGACTACACAGACCAGCTGAGGGAAAATGATGACGAAGGACACCTCACAACTAAGAACCCACAAACTTACAATGCTATTGGCTAGGCTGGTAAGAACTGTGCCCAACAAACCCACTACCAAGACAGCGACCCGGATCACCCACTGGATCTCTTTGTCTGATGCCTGGAAACAAAAGAAGAAGGTAAGAGATATTCCAGATATTCATTTGTCCATTTTTTAATTTCAGTATTAGTGCTTTTCAACCGATGCAGCTCTGCTAATACCGCCACCAAGAATGTAATTAGGTTGAAGACAATTCTGTTCTACAAGGTTTAGGTACATGAGAGGGAGTTTTCTCACCCGTGGTCTCAGGATGTTCTTATACAGGTTGGAGGTAAAAAGTGAAGCCGCAGAAATTAAGCTCGAGTCAGCTGATGACATCACAGCAGCAGCTATACAGCCAATCCCAATGATGGAGATGTAGGATGGGGTGAGCTGCTGCAGGGAGATGGGCAGGATCAGAGCAGCTTCTCCACGTTCATATGGTGACGGAGATCCATAGGAGGTCAGGTTCCAATCTGGGGGAACGAAACAGACCGGTTTAATTCTCAGATGTGGGTGAATGTCTGGACATTATGCTTCTTAATCAGCTCGCTGTATCCTCTACAACTTCTACAGTTTGTAACAAATAATTAATCATAGCAATATCACTGAATCCTCGTTCAGTCATGTCGTTGGCAAACAGCATTCCCTACAGCAGTTCTTCTGTTGTCAGTATCTAAACAGGACTAAACTTCTGCCACAATATTCATTTGGACCGATGTTTTCTTTCAACACCCTACAGTTTGGAGCTAAAAACAAAAACATGCGGTCAGTACCTGTAGATGATGCGGCTGCTCCGATCAGTATAGGCGGAATTCCAAATACGAGGAAAAAAAATCCACCAGCCACACTTGTGATCTTAGCAGTTCTTAATGAAGAAGCTGCCAGGGTCCTCTGGTGAAGGCACTGGAAGCCCGCACTGCCAAGTGCCTAAAAAAGAAAACCATGAACCGTTGTTTACCCAATGTAGGACAATTACTACACACTGTATTCAGTTTTCAAAGTCCTACAGTGATGAGGGTGACATCTATCTTCAGATATGAAGTCAGATGTCCCGTGTATTGGCAGCTTCATTGAAACCTCATGTTATCGTACAAAGAAAAGAAAGTCGTCAATCATGATGCCAGTCTTCTTCAGTTCTGGTTCACCAATCCACGGAGCGTGTAGGGTGTTGTTCAGCAGTGTTTGACCAATGTCCAGGGTGCTGGGGTTCATCAGAACAAAGGGAACACAGAGCCACTGTGGAGGCAAGGGAAAAAGAGAAAAACACATAACATCCTGCATAGTATAAAAAGAAAAAAAACTACTACAAGAAACTCACCAAACTTGTAAATATAAGGATCAGCTGTATGACATCAGTGTAGGCCACAGAGTAGAGACCTCCCATCAGTGTGTAGGTGACGACAACAGCAGCAGAGATCCAGACACACACAGTGTAGGACACATTCAGGATCACACTCATGGTTCCTCCTGTCAGACCAGAGGGTGAATGAATGCAAATGCTTGGAATAATTAGTTAAAAAACTACTATATTTAGTTATTTAGTTATATTTTATTCTGTGTCTGTCTGTATAGACACAACCTTTCATCCACCTATAATGTGGACCTGAGTTCTCTTACCAAAAAAATTCAACCCCCTCCCTGACAACAACAAGACCACAGTTTCATTTCAAAGGACACTCAGCCAAAGGTGTTGGTACCACTCCCCAATCACACCTCTAATCTTGTGACTTTACATTCCGCCCTCATTTGAATACACACCTCGTTACAGGTATGCAGCCCCCTGGAGGCTAAATACCGGAATTTTCCAGAAGCCAGTCAGTGCTGAAGAGGCCTCTTGAATGAGAGGCGTAATTCTTTCTCTGCAGTGCTAACAGAAGTCATATTGTCATGACTTTGCTGTTAGCAAGCAGGCTTACACACTCTCCTGCTTTAAGACTGACTATCTGGTACATTTGAGGCTAAAGCAGAAAGAAGGCAATGATAATATTTTTTTTTTTAAATTGACGTTGTTTCTTCATATTGTAAACAACAAGAATAAATGATGTGAATTTGTACAAACCTAAACCAATGAGTACTACAGCCACACTAATCACATCCAGAAAAAGAGTGAAGACGCACAGTCCAGCTGTTAGTACTTTTCCATACTTCACATGGAAAGGATCCAGAATCGTCACGCAGTGTTTCTCTCTCAGTGGTTTAGCGAACACCAGACCACCTTAACACAAACAAAATAATTATTTTTAAGATTAAAAAATGTAATAATAATGGCATCAAACATGTTTAATATCAAATGTTGCATGCTTCAGTTTTAACTTACAAATTATAAAGGACAATCCTTGTGCAGAAATTGCTGTCAGTGACCAGAGGAGTCCCATAGAGGGCGTGTAAATGACCTCGGCTGTGCCTACAATCATGCCTCCTCCAACCCACGTGGCTACAGGATGGATCAGCACAGAAGAGACATTGGTCTTAGCATTTTAGATGGAAACTCTTTAGCCTACAGTTACTTTTGCAAACTTGCTGTTGTTAAAATTAAGTAAGCTGTAATTGTAAACTCACAAAAAAAACCCATTTTGTTTTAACTGACATTACTGTTTTGACATGAAAATAGCCAGGTCAACATTCTCCTTTGTGCAAACTCTTTCAATTGAACCTTAATTTTACTTGCTTATTTTTTTAACCTTTTATGCACAACATTTCCAACTAATAAAATACATTTATAACTGTGTTTTTCTTAGATTATCTCACCTGTCATGGTGAAGATCCCAACCATCCAGCTGATGCTGCGGTTTCCCAGCAGAGCCATCTCCATTTCACCTGCACCACTTCTCTTTTGCTCCCTCCTGGACTTAAAAGAAGCCCAGATTCCGGTCCCGAGGACCAACATGTAGAATGCCAGCATTGCTATCACTCCTGGGATGTTTATTGCCATGACGCTCTGATCCGTTGGCTTCCACACAGACTTGTTACAAATAGAGTGATAGATCTAGATCTGAGAAAGATCAACTAGGTATCATGTGAGGGCAAGGCGTTTTTCCGTCATGACGCAGAATTAACAGAACAGAATGCTGCACACTGGACATAGAGCCAAATTCCTTATATTTAGTGTTTGTGTTCTAAATGATCGTTTGAGTTTGTGTGATGTCAAATGCCTCTTACCCATCCAATCAGGCTGCACCATGGAGAATCAGGAGACCACCAACAACAAATTGTTGTCAATTTAATTTAATTCGGGTTCGTTCCGCTCCAATGAGAGAGATGTTCACGGACAGACTTGATAACGAATCCGCACGGAGCATTTGCACTAATGCTGAACTTTATCACAGCTCCTCTGACAGCACTGCAGCAGGTTTGGAGGCATGGGTTCAGTTTTATGAGCAAACACGTGATGGTCCTGTTAACGTTTTACAGACATTCACTGAATGTCACTGTACAGGATTAGCATGATTTCACCAGAACTAAACCCACCAAATAACACATCGAGTGGTGGCGTATCTTAGCTGACGTCACAGTTTCATGCTCATATGCTGAGTCGACAGAAACACAACAGGTGAAAAGCTGTTGTTGACGACCTGCAGTTCAAGCAGAGTCATAAATAGCTGCTACTTGGTGTGACCGTGCAGTCACGTGCAAAGAAACTGGACGGTCTTGGTTTCTAGGGAAGTAATTCACCTTTCATACTCAAGGTTAATATGTCATTTATTAACGTTGCAGTTTTGCAGTGGGTGATAGTGAAGCCGTACAGTGTCGTCAGGACTGCCCTGAGCTGCGTACACCAGAGAGACCAACCGGCCGCTGTACGAGCAGCTCTTCAGGCCAGGACTCAGCTGTTTGTCTGCACCTTAAGGACAAAGGATTGAAATGTACATACTGTATTCTTGCCAGAGAGGACAGCTTTGAGATTTGAAGGAGAAGTGATGGAAACTATTTATGTCAAACTGGAGAAGCCATCTGTCAACTCGAGGAAGCGGCTGAAGACATCAGACCCCCCTTTAACATTGTCCTGATTTCACTCCCCTGAAAAGTCAACTCTTCTTCACCAAACACAACAGACGATTGTGGAGGTGAAACCAGCACCCATGAGACTCACACAGGACTCCTTTCACACCTGACCCAGGGGAATGTGATATCCAAACAGCGGCTCAGGGTGTGGTCACCTGCTTGCTTTTAATCTAATGATTCTTCATTCAAGTATTCAGCCACTCTGAGGATAAACACCTGAATTTCTCCGCAGTCAGGTGGAACTGAAGAAGACTTTTGGATGAAAAAGGTGAAATGTCCTTTCCGACCACGACACGACCACGACAGTTGCATGTCTTGTCACTGCTTCACATGTAAGTGCATCACACTCAGGAACATTAAGATGCCACTTTGCAGTTTCGAATTTTGTTTCTTTATTAATATTGTTCTACAATCAACATTTCTGATACAGGTAACAGGTTCCTGGAATAGAGGGCAGCTCCTCGCTGTCTCTGGGAGCCTCTGCATGTGTGTTGAGCATATAACACTCAAACTGTTTGATTCCCACTTCTCTCCAGAGTCCTTCTTTCTCCATCAGCTGGAGCTTCTGCTCCAGATTCACCTTGAATTCTTGTTGCCTTTTTTCTGTGTGATGACCTAGAGAGATGCACACCAAACCTCCTACACACACACACGCACACACATACAAACGTGTCATATAACTGACATGACAATTATTACACCATATCTGAAGCGTATATATATAATATATATATATATATATATATATATATTGTGCCTTATGTTTTGCTAAACCTTGGACATGTTCTGAATGAATGAGTGAGTCCAACCATGTATGTTGATGCAGTGACCAGTTGAATTATGTGGTTTTGTTTTTGTTAGCATTGTACCTGGCTTAGCAGCCTGACAAAATTCTCCGACGCCTCTGACTGGAATGTAGTTACAGCCCAGACTACCAGCAGCAATCACAACGTCAAATGCATCTGAGACCGAGAGGCAAAGAGTGAGAAAGGGTTAGGATGGAGTGACGGGTGAGTTCAAAATGTTTGAACTGCAATTCTGCCCTACTTTTCTCTACAGGAAGTAAATCTGAGCCCAGTAGGGCTTTCTTGAGACAATGGTAGAGTCCACGCTCCTTAGCTTTGTCCAGCATGCCTTGACTGCCGTCCACACCAGTAAAATGTTTGAAGCCCTCCTCATTCATCTGGACTCACAAGAGAAAAAGAAAAAAAATCAAGACTCTGATCATCTCAAAAGCAATTTTAAAGTAGGCAACTGAACATGTCTAAGTCAACAGTTGACAGTGTGTTAACAGTGGACAGTGAGTTAACTCATCTTGGTATCAGTGGTTAATACTGTTAACGCATTTTTCCAGTTAATTAAAAAAAGAGATAGAAATAAATTGTAACCTTATGAGAAAAGAGTGGTAACTTTAATACCTCTCAACAACTTACCAGCTTAGCAACCAGGCCAGTACCACAGCCTACGTCCAGAACTACAGCTTCCTCACGAGAACCACTGAAATGTTCTGTCAGGAATTCAATGGCAGAAAGGTGTGTTCTGTACCTCAACAAGGAGATGTCCTGTTTTGATGCAAAAATACAAATGTAATTACAACATTAGTTTTTGTCAAGCTCGACTTATTCAACTTTTCAGCACCGTTAAGTAATCAGACACTTTATTTAACAGCTTTATTTGAACAGCGTTCTGTTTCTGCGGTCTCCTCCTCTTTCTATAGATTTTATAGAGCGTTTATGATGTGTAAAACAGCCCCCCCCCCCCCCCAATGTTAGATAACGAGCTCGCCTCGATCCTGGTCAAGTAATGCCCAGCGCTCTAATACAATACAGTAGTTTACTCGATTACACGAAATAGAAATAAAATAAATTCCTACATACGATTTTCTCCCTCCACCGCAGTAAAACATCTACCTGATTAGAGGTGTTGTCTTACTTAGCTTCCTTGGGAATTACCTCGTCACGCCATATTGACATAACTCAAGGGTGAATAAGTGAAAAAAAAAAAAAAAAAAGCCGTCACGACTGACCTTGTCATAATTTTCTGCCCAGCTGTCATAGAACTGGACTGTAGCTTTTGAGTCCGGACATGGAATGCTTCTGATCATGTCCACGATCTCTGACACTGTGTTCATCCTGATGAGCGAAGCTTCAAACTGCAACTTTTACAGGAAGACGGTATTAAGCAACAGCTTTACTTAACTGCGGTTAAGAGGTGGTAATAACTGTTGTTGTTCCCCTTCCTTCTATACCATCTTGTTATATAGTGTTACATTTTCTTCCCATTTTCCTCCTCATGCATTTACGTTATTCATGTAAAAAAAGTATTTGTTTAGCGTACGAGCTGATGGAGCATGTTGGAAAATAATTAGCGTTCAACCCCTTCACAACAGCGAGTAGTTATTCCTTACATTTCAAAGAAAAGTGTTACTAAACTTTCTGATCCTTACCTGTCGCTGAGGCCCTCAGTCTCACCTTCTGGTTCCAAATCTTCTGAGCCTTAATTAATATATAGTGAAATGAGTTTCTGCCTGCGTTGGCAGCAACTCAGGTTTCGCCTGTTCATCAAGTTTTCAATGTTTTGTTAAGGTGGAATGAAAATATTGTTTTGAAAGTATTGCTATTTTTTTTCTTTCTTTTATCTCACTCATCTTATTTAAAATCCCTAACCTTTATTTTTTATTTTTTTCACCATTGATTAGACACTCAACAGTAGTGAGGTGTGCTGTTGGGAGAACAGATGACTTTAAGGTGGAGGTGGGACTACATCAAGGATCAGCCCTGAGCCCCTCTTGTTTGCTTTGGTGATGGACAGATTGACAGATGAGGTCAGACAGGAGTCCCCATGGACTATGTTGTTTGCAGATGACATTGTGATCTGTAGTGAGTAGGCAGCAGCTAGAAGAGAACCTAGAGAGGTGGAGGTTTGCACTAGAAAGAAGAGGAATGAAGGTCAGTCGTAGCAAGACAGAGTACATGTGTGTAAACGAAAGGCAGAACAGTGAAATAGTGAGGTTACAAGGAGCAGAGGTGGTGAAGGTGCAGGAGTTTAGGTACTTAGGATCAACTGTTCAGAGCAGCGGAGACTGTGGAAGAGAGGTGAAGAATAGAGTACAGGCAGGATGGAACAGCTGGAGAAAAGTGTCAGGAGTGATCTGTGACAGAAGAGTGTCAGCTAAGGTGAAGGGAAAGGTTTACAGGACGGTGGTGAGACCAGCCATGATGTATGGTCTAGAGACGGTAGCAATAGGCAGAAGACACGATCAATTCCCAGATTTAAAGGACATTTTGCTCACCACTTTTTATATTTTATATTTTATTTCATATATTTTGGTTTTCATTTTACACAACATTTATGATGAGGTTTGAGGAGATTCATTAAAGAAAAGAGCCCTTCACATAAATATGACAGAGAATCAGCCACGAGTTTAAGATCAGGCTCTGGTATACAATGACACCTTTACACATACAACCTTCTAATGCACATTTTATTATACACAAAGTCTTTAATTAAAAAAAGTTTCATATTCTAGCAACATTAACCGGTGCAAGCCAATACTGAGTCCTTTAACATGAAGATTCAGTCTGCGGACATGAGTGTCCAGCATTGTTACATAGAGGTTCTAGATTGTTCTCATCATTGTTTTTAGGTAGGCCAGTCTGAGGTAGGTCAGTTTGAGGTATTGGTTGGAGTTTGATTCGAAGGATGTCATATTTCCTTGACATAATTCCTCTATCAAAGAGCAAGGATGTCAGCCAGGACACGAGGAGGATGGTGGTGAAGGACACTAACATGCATATTGTCCTGATGGGGGCATGTTGGACATAAATACCGTCCACCAAGATGCATCCTGGGAAATGGATGGTGGGTGGGATGCCAAGCAGGGATTCTCCACAGAGCAGTCTCAGAAGTAATGCCATCAGAAATCCCACGATGGCTCCGTAACTGTTAGAGAATCCGACAAACAGGACACAGACCAGCTGTGGCAACATGAGGATGTAGGCAATTTCTCCACCCAGGATCCAGAAGGCCATAACACTGGTGTGCAGGAAAGTAAGCAATGTGCCGAGCAGACCAAAAAAAACCACAGATGCTCGGATAACCCATCGCATCTCATTCTCCGACGCCTACAGTGGAAGAACAAACAATGAAGAAAATGTACAAAGCAGCATAAACACAAATATGAGAGTGGAGCAGATACGACACCTGGGGCCTTATGATCTTTTTGTAGATGTTTGAAGAAAAAATGGATGCTGCTGATAGCAGGGCAGAGTCTGTTGATGACATCACAGCAGCAGCCACAGCCCCAATGCCAATGACTGAGATGTAGGGTGGAGTAAGATGTTGAAGAGCGAGAGGTAGAATCAGACCAGTTTGACCTTGTTCAGATGGAGAAGGAGAACCATAGGAAGTCTGGTTCCAGTCTGAAAAAAAAAGTATGAGATGGACATGAAACTCCTGAACTTCATTCAAGTGGTACACGTAGAACCTAAATAGAGCCCGAGAATAAAGTAAATGATAAAATAAACGAAAACTGTCAAATAGGGGTATCTCATAGTCAGGTTTTGATTAATTCTATGGTAAGTGTCACATTTCAACTTTTATCTAGATTTATCTAGATAGTTTCTGGTAATATAAATTATATAATGCCAAAGGTCGCCACAACTCATTTTCTACCACTAGATGGGGGTAAAGTAAAACATCTTATAATGTAAGAGATTAATATTTTTACTCAACTGTTAATTAGAATATATTCAATTTTTTTTACATTGACAAATATATTCAATTTTTGTTTCAATTATTTTCTATGCATTCCATATTCTTTAAACCTTTCTTGACCTAGAAAGTTTAGATAATTGAAAAAACTATCCAACAAGCAATTCTGCCATTACAAAGTATTATTATTATTACCTGTTGATGCAGCTACAGCTCCAATGATCACCGGAGGAATCCCAAATGTGGGGATGAGGAAGGCTGCACAGTAACAACGCAGCTTAGCCGTGGCGGAGGACGAGGCGGAAAGCGTTCTCTGGTGGAAGTCCTGAAATCCCAAATCCCCCAAACTCTGGAAGAATCAAGATGGAGATTTACAAAGATTATCTATGTACTGCTGGACATGGGTAAGATTTTAGTTTTTTATACCAACAGCAGGAAGATATCAATCCATATCCAAGCTCTGTCTGCTGTCACGTTGCCAACCCAGGGTGGTTGAAAGGTGTAGTTAAAGGACGTGGTGGTGATGTCCACTGATGCTGGACTTATGAGGAGGAAAGGAACACACATCCACTATGGAGACAAAGACACAGAAACTTTGTTAAATTCACACAAGACAGAATACCCACCTTGATGATAAGAAGAGTGATGTCATCAAACTAATCTTATTCTGCCCCTATTTTAGAAACTACTGGTATGAAGTTTAATAATCTATGTAGTGGTTCTAGTTGCCGTGAGCACACCTGCCTTGGAAGCAGAGGGTAGAGGGTCCTGGGTTTGATTCCCGGAGGAAAGACATGCTTGATTGGTAATTCTCCTCCTGTAAGTCGCTTTGGAAAAAAGTGTCTGCTAAATGCATAAATGTAACTGTATATATGTGATTAACTGCATATGACATTTATAACCCTTTTTTAGGTGTCTGGTATAAATGATATAGTTTCAGAAATGTAATACTAAATAATAAAATAAAGAATTTGGGGGTATATATTAAGAAAACAAAAAGTTTCTCAACTCATTCTCATTAGTGACCCACCGAGGTGATGAAGATGAGGATAAGCTGGATAATGTCAGTGTAGGCCACAGAGTAAAGGCCTCCGAGCAGGGTGTACACGATGGCCACAGCTGCAGAGATCCAGATGCTGAGTGAGTAGGACAGGTCCAGAATTACAGCCATGGTTACACCTGGAATAACAACATTCAATATTCTTAGATACATCTATGAACAAATAACAGATTATATTTGACCAAACTAGGATTGCTAACTACCAAATATAAAACAATCTTCGCTTTAACCTTGAGAATTGGTGTTTGGATCCATTAGGAGCAGGTTAAAATAATTTGGTCAACATAAGAGCTTCTAGTCTTAAAGAAAAAGTTACAGAGAAAAAAGGGGTACTGTTCACATCACTAGTAAGGTATAGTACAGCATAGTATGCTAGGTAATTGTATACCAGGTACACAAACATGTTTCTCACCTAGACTGATGAGTGTGGATGTCACCCAGATTACCTCTGACATTAGTGGCGCCACAGAGAGTAAACCTGTGATCGTATCTCCATATTTGATTTGGAATCCGTCCATCATAGTTACAAACTTCCTGTTTCTCATGGGCTCAGCAAAGAACAGCCCACCTAAACCGGAAGACAAGGAGGAGTCAGAGGTTGCAAGTGATGTCATAGGTTTATACACCTAAAACATGATTTAGGCTCTTCTTAGATGTAACACATTTAATTTCTTTTTGATAAAATGAAAGAAATGAATGTTAACACTTAAATAGATGCCTGTATTTTAGGTAACGTAATAGTTTCAACTTGACAATCGTTTGACTTGGGCACTGCCCTTTGCGCATGTGCGAGCCGACGAGCTTTTCCCGGGCTCTGTTGCCGTTCCTCCACAACAACTTGTAGCCGAAAAGCTTTGGGATTATCATTGTACAGAGACACGAAAAACTGCCGAAATTCGACTCTGAGGTGAGTACTACATTTTACATTTTCGCTTTGAAAACACCGTGAAGCGAGACGAATTTACCGTGAGTGATGTCGGACATTGCGGGCTATCTACCGGCCTAGTACCACTGGCTATTCCGTCCGTATGGAATGGAAAAAATATAGTAAAACCACCAGCTAACCACCAGCCTTACTAGCTTGCTTTAACACCAAACTAACCCTTGGCTTTAGTTATATTTGAACAGTCAGGTAGACCTTCGAAATTGTTGAATATCCCGCAAGTGAAACTTTTCTCTGGTCCTTTGCCGTTACATCGGTAGTACCTTGGTACTGCAGGCAACGTCCCTGTAATTGTAAGTAGTAGTAGTAGACTGCCAACCCAATACTTGTAAGTATTCATAATTATCACGTGTTCAATTATTTTCTTTGTCAGAGTAAGAAGTGGAAGTGCAGAGAACGTGGTGAGGCCTAGTCAAAGCAGGTCAGCCTTTGAAAACATTGTATTCAATTACATACACTGACAGCTCGAGTGTCCACTGGTTTTCTAAACAACATATGGATCCAAAAGTGTTTTTCAAGCAATATTTGCTAACTTTGTTACAATTCTTCTCCTGTAGTATAAATATTACCCATATATATCACTAATGTAAACAGTTTACTAATGTAAACAAGAGAAAAATCTTATTTTCTATGTATATATTGTCTGACTCATGGCACTTCCTTTACTGTATACTTAACAGGACATTACTGAAACCTAGTTAGATTTACTTTCTCTATGTGTTGTAGTTATGTCGTGTATCTCAGATTCAGGGTCTGAAAAAATCTCCAGAATCTGAGAAGTGACCTGAGACTCTGTGTGCCGATCCATTTTTCGTTATCTGTCCTTTGTCACACTTTTATGCTCCAATCTGTCTCAATTCATCTCTCTTTGTTCTACCAGTGTTAATCCACTTTTAAGCATTTTTTAAATTGCTCCAACTGCTGGAAGTTAAAGTGATGCATTTACTAAATGTGCATCTATATTTTGCACACTTTGTTTGTTTTAAAACATTTTAACAGATTAGTTTTAAGTAAGTATTTTTTTTAGGTAAGTATTTTATGCCATTTATTGTAATAGTTTTACCGTGGCTGTTGTTTGTAAATAGTAGTTTTGTCACCTCAATTTACAAGAAAGTGCTTTGTTTTGTCAAAATACATGTTTCTCTAATTTGTTGAGAAACATGCAAAAAAGTTAAAGTATTGAAATTTACTTTAGCAAAAAGTTTTATCAAAATGGTTCACCTTCTGACCAATATGCTGTGAAATTAGGATATTTTAAAAAAGTAATTAAGTTAATAAATTGAAATTTATTTTTCAAAAATTTTCATCAAAGTTTTTCACTTTCCGACCAGCATGATACGTGAAATAATGATTTTTTTTAAAAAAGTAAAAAAAATGCTCTAATTTGATGAGAAACATGCAGAAAAGTTACATTTTTAAAATTTTGATCAAAACATTTCATCTTCCAACCAACATGATACGTGAAATTAGGATTTTTCAAAAAATGTCAAAAAAATGTTTTTCCAAAAACAATTTTTAAAATGCTCTAATTCGTTGAGAAACATGCAGAAAAGTTAAAATAAACAATACAATTCCACATATTTAATTTAAAATATTTCACCTTCTGACCAAAATGATACGTGAAATTACGATTTTGTTTAAAAAGTAAAAAAATGTTTTTCAAAAAAAATTCAAAATTCTCTAGTTTGATGAGAAACATGCAGAAAGTTAAAATTTTAAAATGTATTTTTTCAAACATTTTCATCAAAATATTTCACCTTCCGACCAACATGCAGCGAAATTAGGTTTTTTTAAAAAAACAATGCTCTAATTTGTTGAGAAACATGCAGTACAGTTAAAATTTTGTAATTTATTTAAAACATTTTATTTTACTTTTCACCTTCTAACCAACATGCAGTGAAATTAGGGTGTTTTTTTTTGAAATATCAAAAAAAATTCAAATTTTTTCCCCAAATGCTCTAATTTGATGAGAAACATGCAGAGAAGTTAAGATTTTAAGATTTTTTTTCAAAAATTTTCATCAAAATATTTCACCTCCCAACCAAAATGAGACGTAAAATTTGGATTTTTTAAACTTTTCAAAATGCTCTTATTTGATAAGAAACATGCAGAAAAGTTAAATTTTAAAATTTATTTTTTCAAAAATTTTCATCAAAATATTTCACCTTCTGACCAACATGAGATGTGAAATAAGGATTTGTAAAATAAATATCAAAAAAGTTTTTCCAAAAAGCTTTCAAAATGCTCTAAATTCATGAGAAACATGCAGAAAAGTTAAAATATGAAATGTATTTTTTTTTAAAAATTCATCAAAATTTTTCATTTTAAAACCAGCATGATACATAAAATTTGGATTTTTTTAAAAAAATATCAAAATTTTTGTTTCACCAAATTTTTTTCAAAATGCTCTAATTGGATAAGAAACATGCAGAACAGTTATATTTTAAAATTTATTTTACAAAATTTCCATCAAACTTTTTCACCACCATGATACATAAAATTAGGACAAAAAAAATTTCCTTCTCGGTGGTAAGGCTATAGTATGGCATGTTTTAGGTGATTTTTGAAATATTCCTTAACCACTAAGGCACCACTGCCCCCCTAAAACAAAATCCCATGGAGATGCCAGGGATTGAACATACCTGCAAAGCATGCACTCCACCACTGAGCTACATCCCCGTTTAGGATATAAGCTGGCATTTTGAGGCATTTCTGGGACTTTTTATCGATTTTTTCACGATGGTAAGGCTATAGTAAGGCATGTTTTGGGTGATTTTTGAAATATTCATATAAAATACTTTTTGGACTTTTAAACACAAAATATTAGCAGCGTGTTTTAGGACATAATCATTTTAGTGCATTTCGGGGACTTTT